TGCCTTGCTTGCAAAGGGCTCATCCCAGAAGAATCCCGGTAAGCTGAGCTGAGTGGACATGGGAAGGGATTGCAGGAAACCTGGGGTGTCCAGATCTCCCACAGCCCGCCCAGGACATGTAGTGTGTAACACCCCTGCCGTGATAGTCCTTGTGAGGATGGAAACACAGAGTCCCTTAGGTTGGAAAGGATCAGAGTCCAGACATTAATTCAGCACTGCCAAAGCCACCACTACCTGAAGTCCATGATTAGTGATTAGTGATTGGACCCTCTGTGGGTCCAAAGAGAGCATTTGGCCTCCCTGACCCTGTGACTCACACACAAACAGAGAGGACATAAGAACCGACCTCAAAATGTGACATTGGCACTGTGCTGGCACATTCAGGCCCGTGAACTGCAGGTTGCACAGCAGATCGTGAGATCAGGGGTAGACTGCATCAGCTGAGCCATGATTTACATGGAACTGTAGAATTCCAGAGTGGTTTCAGTTGGGAAGGACCTAAAGCCCATCCCATTCCACCCCTGTCACGTGCAGTGACACCTTCCATAGAGCAGGTAGCTCCAAGCCTTGTCCAACCTGGCCAGGAACACTTCCAGGGATGGTGTAACATCACCAGGAACTTGTATTCCCACAGCTGGTCACTGTAGGTGGGTCCATCACTCCACAAATGATTTTTTAAAGGGAAAGAAAGTGTGTGGTTCTGAAAGAACCTGAAAGGGACTTGCAGCTTTCCATGGATGGTGGGCTGAGCTCTCTGACTCCCTCCAAGTGATGACACACACAAGCCAGTGTGAGCGCAGGGTGCCATGTTGGGCAGTCACTGATGTTCCTCTCGCGTCTCTTCCAGCTACAAAGCCGTGTCCTACAACGCCTCGGGCAGGAACATCTCCTACAGGACAGGGCCCTACAAGGTTGGCTCGGGCTACGAAGCTGACCCAAAGACCAGGAAGGGTGCAGGATATGAAGAAGCTCCTCGAAATGAGGATGTGAGACGCTCGTACCCTGCGAAATATGATTATGTCTAGCAGACCTTCTGGCCTTGAGTTGTGCTATCAGATATTTTTAACTTCACAAGCAAAAAGTGCAGCAAACCAAGCAGTCTGTAAATGGGATTGTGTTTTCTAGCAAGTTTTCTCTACTCTGAGGTTGCATCTTTGTTGTGAACATCAGTTTTACTCAACTGCCCGTTAGTATTAACAGCACCGGGAGGTCTGTGACCAAAGTAAGACCCTGTGGTGCTCTCAGAGTGGAACATTTTGCTCCTATTTTCTGTATAAACAGATATACAGGAGCAGTGCCTTGTGCTCTTTCTTAATTGTTCAAATAGCAAAAAATTCCCCTTTGATAATTGCTGTGTATTTGAAGTAAATTCAGTTGTGTCCCCTTGGCTGTGCCCAAAACAAACAGAGCCTGTGGTCAGGGCATTTTCCTCCCTGGTGACTTCTCTACCCAGTCCCACCTTTGCTTTGCTGATTGTACTCCAAGGCTGATCTGCTCTGATATTTAATCTGATTTCTGTTGCTTAGATGTTTGCTGGAGCCTGTGATAGCAAAGTGTATTTATTTCTTCGGATCTCTCCAGGGAATGTGCATAATCCATTGTTATTCCTGCACTAATAGCTCCCAACCTCCGTGTGCCACCGGTGTTCCTGCAGATGTCATCTCTAATGGGGCCAGGAGAATTTCTCATTCAGAATTAATTTGAGTTCCCTTTGGAGCAGGAATCCCAGGGAGCATTAGATGTGTAACTCCACACTGACATCAGGACTTCCCCGTGGTAAATCTCTCCCCAATGATGGGAAGATTAACTCCATAGTGGAATGTTGCCTCCTCCAGCCAA